CAATGTGCAATAGCCTGCTGCGTTGAAAGTTTTTCCTTCTCATAGCTCTGGGGCTTCTTATTCTTGTTGTTGTTTGTCCTTCGTTCTCCCAGGGGACCATGACATCAGGGAGGTGATGCCATGACATGCAAGTGAATTGGATTTAAGTGAGGGAGGGCTGTGCAAAGTCACCAGCCTCACTTTCTCCTCCAGAGCCAGCTGGATGCAGTGGCAAGATATAGATCAGTATGAATGGAGATGGCCCTGATGCAGTGGGGACCTTGGCCTCTTCAAGCTAAGGTCTTTCAAATGTGGGGCAATTGAAGCTCCTTTTTCAGTCCCCATGACAGAGTCTAGAGCCAGGGGTGGGGAACCTGCAGCCTCGAGGCCACATGTGGCCTTCTAGGTCCTCAAATGTGGCCCTTTGACTGAATCCAAACTTCACATTTGTTCTGTGAACTTTGGATTCAGTCAAAGGGCAGCACTTGAGGACCTAGAGGGCCACATGTAGCCTCAAGGCTGTAGGTTCCCTACCCCTGGTAGACCTTCAAATTTTCCACAAAGGGGAAGATATGGCTGGGGATATAGGGAAGTACACAGATCCTCTTTAATACAGAAATACTCTCTTTTGGTCCTTTATGGGACACTTTGGATAACTTGTATAATCAGAGAAGATGCCATCTTTCTGATCCTGCCCATCTACTCCAATCAAATTTCCAAATACTTTGGAAACAGAGTGAGAATCGAGAGTATTATCACCAGTTGCACCCCACCAGGGACAGTTAGCTTCTTGTAAAGAAGCATAGAATCAAACATTTTATTCAGAGCACAAAGGGGAAGAAAACAAAACTAAGAGCAAGACCCGATGAGGTTCTCAAAACAATTCAGTCTCCTTGGAGAATTGTGGTCAGAATAGGTGAGATGCAGAGGGAGGTAGAAGTGTATCCATGAGTATCTGGTTTCTATTACAATCTTATTTTAAATTCTAGCTTCAATACTCCCAATTCCTTAAGTTTAGTGGAAAGTGAGGCAGGAAACTGGGTTTCCTCCCGCTCCTTTCCATAAAAATTTCTCTTTTACAACTCAAAACCTCTAAGGAGAAAGCACAGGGAGGGTGTCTTGGGAGTGAATCCTTTCTTTCTCACCATTCCATTTAGTAATCCCACCCCTAGGATACCTTCTTTTCCCCAGTCCAATCCAGTTCAATGAGCATTTACTATAATAAGCAATACTATATGCATGGCATAGTGGATAGACAGTCAGAGTCAGGAAGACATGGTTCAAATCCCACCTCTGACACAGACTAGCTGTGTGACATTTTGGATGAGTCACTCAGTCTCTCAGTGTCCCAGGCAGTGCTTTAAGGCTGTGAGTTATAATAGGTCAGAAAAGGTGTTGATCTACATCAGTAGAGGGAATTTCTTCATGGATGTGCTTTATACCAGTAAAATCACAGGTCTAATCCAAAATGTACATGCAATGTGCTATGTGCCAGGGCTACAAAGACAAAAATAAAAAGTAGTTTCTGCCCTCAAGGAGTTTATATTCTACTGGAGGAATACAAAATATCACCAGATAATTATGTGGCACAGATAGGAACTAGACCTGTGATTTTATTTTTATAGGGAACTCCCAGATGAGAAAGCTTCTTCTACCAATGTTTTGGTTTTTTTCAGTCATGTTTGCCTCTTTGTGACCCCAATTGGGGTTTTCTTGGCAAAGACACTGGAATGGTTTGCCATTTCCTTCTCCAGCTCATTTGACAGATGAGGAAAATGAGGCCAGCAGGGTTAAATAACTTGCCCAGGATCACACAGCTAGTAAGTGTCTAAGGCCAGATTTGAACTCATGAAAATGAGGCTTCCCGATTTCAAGCCCAGTGGTCTATCCACTGTGTTACCTAGCTGCCCTCCCTATCAGTATAAGTTGGTCCTTCTCTGCCACTTACAGTCTTAGTTGCCTAGAACATTGAAAAGTTAAGTGACTTGCCCAAGGTTATAGTCAGTATGTGTCAGAGGCAGGACTAGAACCCAGGCCTTCCTGACTCCAAGACCAGCCCTCTCTCTTATCCACTATCATGAAGGGATCCTATAGGAGATAGGAAGCTGAACTCTGAAGGAAGCTAAGAATTCCAAGAGATAGGAGTAATGAAGGAATGCATACCAGGTGTACACACACACACACACACACACACACACACACACACACACAAAGTCTACCATCTTCTTCCAAAACTATTCATGACTGACATCCTCCAGAAAGTCTTGACCTTGCTTGACTCAGACAGCTTCTTTATTCTCTGTCCATACAGTACTTAGTGTGCACTCTATTCATTTGGATTTGTTTATGCTTATTTGGATCCTTGGCATCATCATCAGACTATCTCCTCTCTCCTAGGTTTATTGAGATTTCCTCTGTAAAATCACTGTAGTCTTCTCCTTCCCTTTCACCCTCCCACTGCCACCACTCCTTGGTTCATGCCCACAGAAACCCACATATAGATTATGGCAAATACCCCCTGAGAAGTCAACCTGTCTCTAGCCTTTTCTTCTTTCAATCTATTCTAATCCTTGGCTGATTAATCTTTCCAAAACCCTGCTTTTTTAATAATTCTAGAGTTACAAACTCTGTGAAGAAAGCAGAGCTATCATCATCATCATCATTTTTGCACATGAGAAAGCCAAGGTGAAGTGATTTGCCCAGGATCACCCAGTTGGTAAGTGAGGGCAGGTATTCAGGACAGGTCTCCGAAGGCCAATATCTGTACTCCTTCTGTTATAGTCATAGCTTCTACTTGGAGACTGGCAGTGGCTCCCCATTGTCTTTCTAATCAAATCCAGACTCCTCATTCTGGTGTTATCTAATATAGGCCCCATCTTCTCTAGGCACCATTATCTCCTATTACATGATAATACATATCATCCAAAGCAGATAGATCTCCTCCCCTCTGTCATTCCCCACACACAAAGTGTTAATTTTTCATTAGAATTCCTTCCTCCTGCCACATTTGTCCATGTGATCAAATCTTTCAAGCCCCATCTCAAGTTTCATCTTCTCCACAGAGCCTTCCCCAATGCCACTGGCACATGAGGTTTTCTCCTCTTCCTGATCTTATGTAATACTTATTCTGAATACTTTTCATTTTAAAATTGGATTATTATCCAATCTCTTCTTCTCTTCTTCTTTCACATGTATAAATTGTGTTCCCACAATAAGAAAGTAAGGTTCTTAAGTGTAGTGAACCAGACCAGACTTCTTTTAAGTCTATCTGAATGTCAGGAAGCATTGGGTTCCAGGTATTCAACAAATTCTTGGTAAATTGAGTGGTTGTTTCTTATGTGTGGATTTTTGTCCTTCCAACTAGATTGTAAACTCTTAGTGGGCAAAGGTGATATCTTCTATACTTTTTTTTACTCCAACCCATGACCGTGATTTTCTTAAATAATAATAATAATTGTTGATTGTCTAAAAACACATACAATGCCTAATGTGGTGGCTTTTGTTCAACATTTTACTTTGACTGATATCTTTCAATTTTGTCTTTGTAGCCCAGGTAGAGAGGAATGTGGTATAGTAGATAAAGAGTTGGCCTTGGAGCCAGGAAGACTTGGGTTCAAGTCCTGCCTCAGGTACATACAGGCTGTGTGACCTTAAGCTTCATCTTTAGGTGCTCTAGGTGACCCCATAAGACTACAAATTGCAAAGAAAGCACCCACATTAATAAAAGGAATTTCCTTATTTGGGTGTTCCTTAGAGCAATGAAATCATGGGTCCAGTCCCATCCATATCCTATCCTCAACTGATGCTTAATAAAAGGTTGGATGGATTGAATTCACAAATTGGACAGTGACTGGGGATGCAGGTGTAAAGGGGATGAGGAGGAGGTATGCAGAAAACAGGAAGGAACCAGTTCAATTTAACAAGCATTATTTAATCCCTTAGTATGTGCCAGCTACTAGGGAAACAAAGACAAAAATAAGCCAATTCCTTCTCTCAAAGTGCTTACATTCCATTAGGGAAAAGCCATATGTACCCAGAGAAATAAATGTGAAACATATACTCGGTAAGTACAAAGAAATTTGCAGAGAAGAGCACTTTCAACTTGTAGCTTCCTCAAATTAACAATGACAAGTCTGTGTTACAGCTAGGGAAGGGAACACTTTGAATTATACAAATACCCCCATTGAAGGTCACTAGTGGTTCCATGAAAAGATGGTGTTAGGGGAAACAATGGTATCAGGGGAGCAGCTGGTTCTCTTGGAACATTGTTTGCACATGTGTAGCAAGCAATGTGGCAATAGTAAAGATGACATGCAGGAAAGGTGATACCAAGTATCACCTTAAGAAAGCAAACAGTGGGTCCGCTGAGTTTTGTGGCATCACAGTGAGGTTTGGTTATAACATACTAATGGTATTACTAATAAACAACATGGACCAGGACAAAGTTGTGCTGGGTATACCTGTCATCACAACTATTCTTGACTTGAGGTACCCCATACTACATACTGAGTCAGAGCAGCCTTCCCTCCAGCCGAGCATAAAATTTATTTCTTGGTAATATGTAAAATTTCCTCACAGGAAATTGAAAGGTGGGAGAGTAGGGTTTTGTTTTTTTTGTGCTTTTGGACAGTTTTTTTCCTTGTTCTCCAGTTGAGTGACCTATGAAACTATATAGTTTGAGATGAATCGTACCCATCTACATTGAGCCTATCATTTTAGTAAGGGAAATTAAATTTTGCTGTAAGATTGCATCAAAACATATCTTATCAATTCCAGGAGGAGAGTTATAATAGAGCATAAATATAATAGCATATTTCAAATCTGCAGACTTCAGTACAAGCACAATCAGGGGTTGTATCCACTAGGCAGAAGTCATCTGGAGACAGCTCTGACACCCTGATGCCATTAAACCATTGACCTCAGCAGCAAAATCTCTGATTTTCTTGTCCTTCCCATGTTTGACTACCACCCTTGGTCCCTTGAGTGACTATTCACCATACTGTGTGTGTTCCTCTTGGCAGGTACCACGACCAACAGGATGTAACTAGTAACTTTCTGGGTGCAATGTGGCTTATCTCCATCACATTCCTTTCCATTGGGTATGGGGACATGGTTCCTCACACATACTGTGGAAAAGGTGTCTGTCTTCTCACTGGCATCATGGTGAGTATATATTATATATAATTTTTTTCCTCCCAATTTCTCTGTCATCGAAACTATGAACTCATACTTCTTGTTTAGGCCCCGATGCTTTTCACGCTATTCTTCATGTTAAAAACTGATGGTGCTCTTCTTTGGCTGCATATGTCAGTCAATCAGTAAACATTTATTAAGCACCTACTACATGCCAGGCACCATATGAAGCATGTGCAATTGGGCACGAAAAGTCAGGGCTTCCTACAGATCATTTTTAGTTTCAGGCTTCTTTTTTTTCCCCTAAGGTCCAAAATCCCTGTCCTTCATAAAAGGAGTTTCCCAGCCCATTAAAAGGCCTGGGTCTTAAAGCCCTGTGAAGTCTAGCCTAAAATGAAGCATTGGCCTTTTTACTTTGGTTACAGCAGGTCAAATGGAGAAAGCACTGATTGGAGTTAATGTCAGAAAACCTTGGTTTTGTGTCCTGGTTCTGCCATTTTCTACCCATTGGACACTGAGCTACTAACTTAACTATTTGAGCCTCGGTGCTCTCATCTATAAAATGGGCACACTGATACTTGTATGACCTACCTCACAGGGTTGTTGTGAGGATTTAAGTCAGAAGGGACATGAAGTGATTTGTAAAGCTCCTATAGCTTTCTATAGTGCTATAGAAAAATCATCATTTACTATTGTTCTACTCTTCTCATGCTTTTAGTCAATTCAGTTCCATTCAACAAGCATTTACTGGGCACCTACTGTGTATTAGGCATTGCACCAGGCACTGGAGCTGCAAAGTCAAAAATGAAACAGTCACTACCCTCAAGGAGTTTACATTCTACTGGGAATAAATGACGTGTATCTGATAAGCATATGTCAAATACATGCAGAGTTAATACAATTAAATTTTAGTAGAGAGAGAGCAGTTAGAAGTGGAAAGATCAGGAAAAGCTTCACGCAGGAAGTGGCAGCAGAGCTAAGTTTTGAAGAAAGTTAGGGATGCTTTGAGGTAGAGATGAGAAAAGAAGAGTATTCCAAGAAGTTCAGCAAGCCCCATTTGCAATAAGCAACGTGACTCCATTATTAGCGGACGTATGGCACCGCTCCCTCCATATCTCTGTTCTCTGGCAGTGGACAAAGGGATGATTTAAGAGGACAGAATCTACTTCCTCCCAAAACTTTAAGGCTAAGCAAGCCGTGATTATTCTTCAGTGGTTTAACAGCAATCTTTCTTAGACATAGAGTTGGACCAACTGACCGTGAATTTCATTCCGATTCTCCGAATATTTATGTGTCATCTTGGTAACTCAGAGGCAAATTCTCTCTCTGAGGTTTAAGCTAATTCTTCACCAACCCCACTGTTGTCTGTAGTATCCCTCCCCTCCTGATTTTGCCATCAAGCATTTTCCAGGCCTTGTCTCAGCTGACCTAAACCCAGCCAGACTTTACCTGAATTCGATGGAGCACCATTGTCGGCTTCTTCAAGGGATTAACAGCCAGGTCTCAAAAGTAACAAATAGGAAGACGAATATATAGTCAAAATTATTCATGTTATTGGGTACCGGGCTAGTGACTGATGTGAGGCAAAGAGAGTAGGACATGATTCTGCTTTTTTCAAGGATAGATACCAGACTCTGAGTAAAAGTTTGGGTGGCCTGTATTAGCAAGCAACTTTCAATACAAAAGTTAATAGCAAATTGCTTAGTACCAAGGCAGGGATAAATCGCGGCTAAGTGTGAGCCTTAGAAACAAACACCTCTAAGAGTTTATCAGGAAACTGCATGGCACAGGTCTAACCTTCACCAACAAGTAGTGGGAATTATTCTTAATCAAAGACTGCAAAATTGTATGGAATGATGAAGACTTTCCTGAGTCTCATCAAAACATCCCCTGGAAGATTAGAATTTCTGCCACAGAAACATCATTTGGTCAATGTCAACCCACTCAATCAGTGACAGGCCGGGTGATTTGGCAGCCATCTGATTGATGCACCAAGCTGTCAACCTTGCTGTTATTTTTAAACACCAGCCATTCTCTCTCCCAGCACTGAAATTCAACACATCCAGGAAACAACCCCTATACTGACCATTTCACGGGTTTCTTGACTATCTCTCATCTCCATGCTTCCTATCTGGAAAAGGTGAGTGGCATGGGCATGAATGACTCCTTCCTGATGACCTTGGCTCTGCCCCTTCCTTGTCTTGTGACCTGAAGCAAATCAGTTAACCTGCCCTGTCCATTACCTCATTTGTTGGCTAGCTAGACAATGGCTTCTTTGAAAGATGATTCCACTTCCCTGGGGGAATGGTGGTAACAAAAGAAAAAAAGTATAGACAACAAGGGATCCACAGTTCCCCCTCATTATTAAAAATTCAGGGTATTCCATGTCTCTTTCTTTGAGCAAAACTCCTCTGCTCAAATATGTGATTTTTTTTTACAAAAGTGCTTTATTCTACTCATCGTTAATATTTCTCTTTTTTAACTTTTATTTTATCTTTTTCAATTAACAAGTATTTATTTTTTCTTCCTCTCAGCTCCCTTCCCCCCACTGGGGAGGGGGCGGGGAGAACCCATACCTAGTAACAAGTATGCATATTCAAGCAAAACAAATTCCTGCTTTGGTCTTGTCCAAAAATTACACTTCTCATTCTGCATCTTCATTGTCAGGATTTGCATCCAAATGTAAATTAGCTGCCTCACTCTATAGTCTGCCACCATTGAGAAACCCTGGTGGTGTTTTTGTAACAAGAAACTTGCCTGTTCATGCGGAGTCATCCCTTTCAAGGGTTTGAGTCCCCTCCTCCCCATGCCGCCCGCCCCCCCCCCCCAAACCTGCTAATACTATGTATATCTCCTGATTATTATTTCGAGTGTACTTACTAATGGTAGGCCTTACAGTTTGGTTACCATGGACACCATGAAGGCCGGGGCCAGGCCTACTCACAATCGAAGAGGAAGGATTTGTGTATGCATGCTGTAAATAGTCTTAATCATTGTTTTCTTTCTGCTACCTCAGTAGCAGTGCAATTATCAGCTATTAAGCAGGGGGTATAATTGTCTGAGCAACTTGACGTGACTGGCATAAAGCTGGTGGATCTGGAAGACTTCACCCTCTCCCTCTATACCCCCAAAGCAGATAGGTCAAAGTACAGTGTTGTTAGTTTTTCAATGGAGGAAACTTTATCACAGACATTCTGAAGCATTGAGGAGGCTATATATAGTATTAATATACAATATATAACAACAAATAAGTAATATATTTATTTTATATTTATAAAATATATAATAAATACATTATATTAATATGTTTCATGTTATATATAGGGGCAGTTAGGTGACACAGTGGATAGAGTGTTGGACCTGGAGTCAGAAAGACCTGAGGACAAATCTGGCCTTAGAGACTAGCTCTGTGACCCTGGGCAAGTCATTTGGCTGCTGTCTGCCTCCGTTTCCTACTCTGTAAGATGGGAATGATAATAATTGCACCTAATTCCCTCATCCCTGCCACCTCCACCCCCCGGGATGTTATGAGGATAAATTAAATAATTTTCGAAGAGTGTCTTGCAAACCTTCTCACTATTATACTGAAGATTTAAAACAGAGAGGATGCTGAGACCCTGAAGTGTTGTCTGTAGTGCTCCCTTTGGATTCTGAAGGCATGACATACAACCTGGCTAATGTAGGCCCATTCCATTGTATCTTCATTACAGCGAGTCGGGCTCTCTGAGCCAGACTATATGAAGCATTAATGAGTTATGGGGGGCAGCTGGCAGAAACTGCTTTGTCAAAGCCTGTTAAAGACACTGAGGTCAAATAAAAGCTTCATGAAATCAGTGTATTTATTTAGGCTTGAGGTGAGCCTCAGGAGGAAGGGGGTAATAAAGGGAATGACAGGGCAGAGTCACTTTTGCAGAGTGGTGGGGAGGGGAGGTGGTGATGGATAGGGAACAGAGAATTCAGCACGACATTTGGTGGGTTTCCATTTCAGAAGATAAACTTCTCTCCTGAAACACCCACACAGTTACCAAGGATCACTTAGTCTCAAACCAATTGATGTTATTCTAGTTGTTAAGAGGAATCTGCTGAAACCAAGGGATCCAGCTGTAAACTCTCCTGGCCTCTCTGTTACATTTGTCACTTTCATTTATGTGTTATTTTCTTTTCTGCTTCTTTAGTTAAGGATACATCATCTTTATCCCCTCAGGATGATTTTTTTTGTCCCCCTCCCCCCAACTTCTAAAGGCTTTCCAGCTGGGAAATGTTTCTTGGAAACCAAAAGCAAGAGGACAGGAATGGAAGAGTCCAGAGCCTCTGGCTTGTTTCCAAGCCCCATAAATCAATTAGGTATTTTCACCCCATCTCAGGCCATTCTTTTCCCCATTGCAGGTGCCTGGGTTCATATTCTGCTTGTCATGCCCCACCTGTCTTCCTAGGAAAAAGAAAAAAAAAGCCAACTCACAAGATCCACTTACCATTTCTTCTCACTGAGGGAATGAGAATCAGAATAACTCCAAGTAAGACCTGGGGAATAGGGTTAGTGTCAACTCTGACTCAGTACTTGGCATATCCAAGGGTAAAAAGTCTGAGTCACAGATTTGCTCCACATTCTGACCCCATGGTAGTCACATAAGCAGCTGCTCACCCTTTTCTGTCTTCTCCTCCTTCACTGCTGTCTCCAACGGACCAGCCTGTCTCTAAATTCTCATGTTTACGCACAGTAAGCCTCTCTTGGGCCAAGATCAGCCATTTTGTGCTAGTGTCCTGTTCCATCCCTTAAAACCTTGGCACCTCCACCCTCTTAACATTCATTCATCATTCATTGACTGCCTACAGAGTGCAAGGTACTAAGGGGAGGGATACAATGATGAATAAGGCTTGGGCCCTTCCCTGGAGGAGCTGAGAGTCTGTCAGGGATGATAAAATAAGGATGCTAACAAGAATACAACAAAGATAACATGACACAGTGGGAAGCACACTAGATTTGAAGTCATAGAATACTAAATCTAGACCTGGAAAGGACCTGAGAGGCC